GTGGTCCTGAGTATGGCTCAATTCACATACTATGACCATTTCCAGTTGCAACCATTCTATTACAAATGACAAGATGCTGTTCTTTGTGGGTGGGAAACAGTGCCACTGTGTACACTTGCCACGTTTTCTTAGTCCAGTCTTTGGTTGTTAGACACCTAGGTTGGTTCTGCAACAGCTGCTGTGAATGGTACTATGGTAAGCAGTGTTGTGCAAGTATCACGTGATAGGCTGGACTGAACTCCAGTCCCAGTGCTCAACAGCTAGTGTTGAATCTACTAAGCCATCTCCCGGGCCTTTACTGAGTCAGTCTCTCTCTCTCTCTCTCTCTCTCTCTCTCTCTCTCTCTCTCTCTCGTCTTTTGAAAACTGTTACTCATTTCATGAGTCCCTGTATTGATTTTGGTGGTTCCAGTTCTTGGTTACTTCTGCAAGTTCTTTGTGTATTTTACATATTAACAGTCTATCTCATGTAGCTAGCAAAGGTTTTTCTCTCACTGTCTAGGCTGTTATTTCTCTTGAGTTTTTTTCCTTTTCTGTACAAAAGCTTTTTAATTTTGTGAGGTCCCATCATTGATTGATGGCTCTATTTTCTGAGAGACCAGAGGCCTATTGAAAAGTTCTTGCTTGGGCCAGTATGTTAAAGGGTTTTCCCTACTTTGTCCTCCAAGAGTTTTCAGTCTCTCATTAAGACCCTTAGATCCATTTAGAGTTGGTTTTTGTGGAGGGTGAGATATACTCTTCCACATGTGAATATCCAGATTTTCCCATTCTTAATTGTTTGTTTATTGAAAAAAAATGACTCTTAAGCTCACATAACTCACGGTCCATAGATTAGGAACACAAGTCAGAGAAAAGCTTTTAAGGAGCTCAATCCAAAGAAATTCTTCAGATTTGGATTATTCTACCAGTTTTCCTCGCATCTTGTAAAATCTTTTTTTTTTTTTTTTTTTTTTTTTTTGTGGGATCATAAGTTGTGTAGAAATCTACATATGCTTCAGGCTTGGCTCAGCCTTGTCAGGCTTACAGGATGCTGCCACTGCCAGTGAGTGCCACAGGGAGTGAACCAGCAGTAAGCTGCAGAGTTATCTGACGTGTCACCAATACGTGAGACGCCATGGCAGTCAAGGTCCCTTACCCTGAGACACTTAGTCTGTGGGCCAGAACCAAGCGGATCCCTCAAGGATTCAAGCTCCAGGGATGCTCAAGGCTGTGTACCTTAATGACTAACATGGATGGGGTGAGGGTACCATGGCTGTAACAGCTCACAGACCCTCCTCCTAGCCCAACTCTCAAACTTGGCCAACCAACAGTGTTCTCTGTCCCAACCCCTTGCACCCCAACCCCAGCCCTGCTTTCTTGTGTCCTCTCCTAAACCACACCATGGCCGAGGAACCAGCCACCACCCCTTACCTAGAATTCTTGTTTACATCTTAGGTGGTAAGAAGATTTGTCTCATTTTTTCACTTTCCCCAAAGTAATATCAGTGTTCAGTGAAAAGTTTCTCTATTATTACTTTTTTGTTTCCCCTGGAAACGGGAGTAAACATCATCTCATTACTGACTTACAATAATAGTGTGAAATACTACTCCCTTCCATGTTTTCCTTGAATTACTCATTTTCAGATCCCTTGTTAAGAAGTTACTTGAGAAGCAGAATGTAATCTTGTTAAGCTCACTATAAATATGGCTAAATTAGAAACTTTAAGAGTCTTGCAGATGGCAGGGTTCTATAGCTTTGTTTACTTCCCTCCAGGCTATCAGACAGTAGAATGCAGATGGATCCTTATCTGAAAAAAATGTGTGCAAATTCTGTGAGTCTGCAATAAGGAAATTTACTTTTCTTACTAGGACCATTTCTTTAGTAATTACTTTGACCTTTGAGATAAGCAGTGCAGTTGTGACCTCTGCTTTTCCATAGTTGTTAGCATAGTTCCTTGAGGTGCTTTTTTATGAATTAATGCCTTTTGACATTTTACTGTACAACTTTCAGTGTTTAGGAATCTTTTATGACCTAGTTAGTGATGACTTAAAAGAGCCAACACACACACACACACACACACACACCACACACACACCCCCCACCTGTTCTAGTGATGATTTCCAATCACAGCTTATGTTATGCCTAGGATGGAAATAATGACAAGAGTATCAAAATCATCAGTAATTTTATAAAATGATTCTCACAGCTTAATCATTTAATAAGAACCGTTTCATACTTGGTTACATAATGTACTTTGAGTGTTGTTCCCTTTCTTACGAATATGCATACGCTTTCCTTTCTTCCATTTGCCCTTTTATTTAAGACCCATTGGTAAAGGTTCTAACGAACCTTTTAACCATTTCTTAGTGCCCTTTAAAGACCATTTTAAGATGCTCACAGATTCCTGAGAACATACATAGGTAAGGGTACTGAGAGTTGGGGGGGGGGAGTTCATTGAAGCTATTTAATTGGGTGTGGTAGCACACAGCTTAAATCCCAGTACTTGGGGGGCAGAGGCAGGGAGATCTCTGTGAGTTCAAAGCTAGCCTGGTCTACATAGTTAATTTGAGGCCAGTCAGGATGTCATAGAGAGACCCCCATATGAAAAAACAACATCAACTTCGTGTTTATTAGACACTGACACTTAGGACATGGTGCATTTTGTTAGTTATATTTTATGGCAAGAGAAAATGATAAGTTGAGTATTTAAATTCTAAACCTGTGTGGAAATCTATTACATAGATAATCTATTATATAATAGTGTACATACTGTTCCTTATAATCCTTGATTTCTTTCTCATCCAACTGTTCTGCCTCACTTGAATCATGGTTGTAGGAAATGTTACAGTGAGAGGCTTGCACTGTTAGGTTGTGTTGTTCTCTTGTCCTGACATTCAGCTGTGATGCCCAAATAATCTTTAAGTTCTAGTTAAAATGAACCATGCACGGATGACGTGCAGTTAACATTTGCCTCCATGCACATGTGCCTGAGCCTCACGTCCAGTTGGATGCTGTCTTATGCCAGATTCCTGCTGTCAGCCCAGCTTGAACAGATGGTGGGCTAGGCCCCTGGGGCTGTCTGACCCAGTGTTTTCAGCTGTAGATCCTCTGTAGCAGTTGTCAGAAAACAGAGCATTGTTACATGGAAAATGGCTTCACTGCTTTCTGGCTTTCTGGCTTGTTGGAGGCGTCCATCAATAGATTTTTAGGTGTCAGGTTTCCTGGTACCTTCAAACTTACACTTTTCTTAAAGGTGCAAAATGAAAGCATATAATGGGAGAATTATGATCTTTTAACTCAGAATCCTAGGCAGATAAAGAGCACATGAAATAGCAGTTTGTAATTTTTTGACCCAAACCTTTAAGTGTAATATTTTACAGGAACTGGATGAGTAGCTTAATATTAGTCTTTGCATGCTAGAAGCCCTGGGTTTGGGTCCCAGTATAGCAAAAGCAAAACATACGTACATATGTGCATGCGTGTGTCTGTGCGCGTGCCCATGTGTACATAGTCATATTTACACATATATAATTTAACCCCAAACATAAATGAATAAAAATTTTAGCTTAATATGTGCATTTTAAATTCTTTTGTTGTTGTAGGTGATAATTCTTTTTTCTCTTTTCAGTCTAAAGTAAGTTTTAGAGCTCACTGATTGGGACCTACAGTTAGAAAAACAATATTTAGGAGCTGGCAAGGTGGCTCAGTAGGTAAATAAGCCCGATACTAAGCCTGATGGCCTAGGCTTGATCCCTGGAACTCTCCTGGAGGAAAGAAAACTGACCTACCAAAAGTTCCCCTCTGACCTCTAGAAATGCACTAATAACAAGAGCACGCACATAAAAATAAGTAGATGTAAAAGTGTCAAGACAAAAAAAAAAAAAAAAAAACAAAAAACAAAAGAAAACAAAACGCCACTAATGTTAAGCATTAACTATAGATAAAGACATTTTTGTGTACTTTCTTGAAGTATTTGAGTAAGAATGAGTTTGCTACTTCATTATTCTTGTCACCGGTCTTATAAGAAATTCTTAGTATTTTCTGTTACTTGTGTGTTCAAAGACTTATAGTAAAAAAGCATATTATGCAGTCAGATTTTAATTGTAGAATTTAATGAGCCCTATAATTTTCTCATTAAGTGCATGCCACTTCTCATTGCCTATAATCAAATATAATATTTGGGGGAATTTCTTTATTTCTGTAATCTAGATAACCCTATTGCCTTTTGGGTTAACAGGTTATTTCAATTATAGACACATGAAGGAGCTTTATTTTAAGGCTCTTTAGGGAAAGCAGTAAGGAACTCTTGAACTCGAGCCCATGTTTGAATATCATGGAGATCATTTCCTATTTCTTTATATTAATAGTGGTTCTAATGAGTTATAGTAAAGATGTGGTCATGAGGGACTGGAGACATGGTTCAGGGGTTAAGAGCACTGGATATTCTTTCAGAGGTCCTGAGTTCAATTCCCAGCAACCACATGGTAGCTCACAACATCCTGTAATGCGATCTTGTATCCTCTGTTGGTGTGCAGGCAGAACACTACGTAATAAATCAATATATCTTTTTGAAAATGTGGTCGTCATATGGGAATATGTAATCTTAAGTATCGTTCAGCACATAAAAAATTATATGAAGTATAGGTTTTACTCATCATTACTAATTTCAAGTTACTATACCTTTATGGGAAACCATAAAATACATAAAATTATATTGGCACAGCTCTAAGAATTCACAAAGGATGTAGAAAAAAGGCATTCCTGTTACAAATTGATAGTGTTCCAAATTGAAACCAGCACTGTTCTGAAGTTGACAGATTAAGAACACTACCTCTGTAGTGTGACTTGTGAAAATTGAAACAAGGTAAAAGCAGCTTTGTAGCAAAAGGTAATTTCTGTAAATGGTTCACTGTGTATGGGACCAGCTTTGATTGTGGATAGGGAACGTTATTGGATAATGTGTCATTTACATGTTTGCATTTCAGAATTTCATGGAACTCCTGCCCTTTTTCTTTCTTTCAGACACAGAAACAAGTGAAAAAATACAAGGAAGTGGAATACTTCAGTTGTTTGCAAATCTGTTGACGCCACAGTCTTCCTGCACAGCCAAAGTAGCCAACATCATAGCAGAAGTAGCCAAAAATGGTGAGGTTTCCTTTAGAATTTTCCACTCAGAACCTGTTCAGTTTTACACCTTACTTGCTTTATTAATTTATGTTTTGGTTTCATGATTAGACTTTTTCTACTTCTCTTTTCGTTGACTTTATGTTAACTATTTTAGCTGGCTCTAGTTCACAGTTATTTTCTTCATATATTTTCACCCGTTCAGAGTAGAATAAAGGAAAACAACTATTTGTTTCTGTTGTCCTTTTATTATTTCTCAGTTTAGGTCTAAGAGTTTTTAGTGCCACTTACTCATTCATCTTGTCACAGGAAGCTTGGTCTCCTACTGCGCGTTGGTTTGTGTTGTACCTACAGAGCCTGGCCAGTTGCCCACGCCCACCCTTAAGTTCCGCTGTTTGGAACTGACAGTTGATAGCAACAGTGCAGTTGGGATGTATATTATGTTTTCCACTCTTGTTTTCATAGAAAGCAGTTATGTCTTAAATTCCCTACTGAAAACACTGTGGGGAAGAGAAATGGTAATATAAATTATATAATACTTAATTCATACCATTGTGTGTTATTTATATCCAGTGACAGATTCCTTAGAAGAAGTAAGCCAGAAATATATTTACATAATTTTAATTTAATCAGTTTTATCAAACACCAAATAAGTAAAGCAGCCTTTAAGCATAAGGGGAAACTCTAGTAATTATAATAATACCCAGTATGTTTCAGTTCGACAGAATCTGGTATTATGGCTTTCATTCTAATGTTTCTTAGATCGGTACTTTTACAGAAAATTTAAATTTAAAAACACGGTGGGAGGGTGTGTACCATGCTCTCAAGTGGCTAAAGTTTCTTGACAAAGTGTTGGAATCTCAGCCCATGACTGTGCAAGAAATAGCCATCAGCATTAATCTTGAGATAAGAACAATAAAGAGTGTGTATATCAAAACAGAAGCTTGCCGTTCCTTTTTTTAATTCCTGCCTTACTATTTTTTGTATTGAAAGAAAATTGTATAAATCTAGGTGTTAAAGAAGGAGTGTTACTAGGAAACGCACACTCTGGTGATGGAGTAGTACTTGTTACCCTGAGCATGAAGGCACACCCAACACTCCTTGTATTTGGTCTTCAAGCTTTGGATTAGTACTGAGTTCCTTCAGGTAGCTGAAAACGAGAAAGGTACACACAGGTCTCATTTTCAAATATTGAAAAGTATGTATGTAAAATTTATAAATCTGTGTACATCAAAGAAAATTATTTTGTGGTTTTCCACTCAGCCTATATTTTATAAGAATACGCTTTCACCAACTTGTACTTATACTGTCCTTTTTGCCCTCCCCATACAATACTCCATAGTCTCCATTCTCCGGAGTTGAAATTAATAAGAGAGTCTGAACTTTTATTATTTCGTAACCGTTGCTCTGTTTGGCAGATCTGTCAAAGTAGGCTCTTCACTAGTGCTCTACAGGATGGGTGTGTACGGACATAGCTCTGTGTGTGGTGGGGACCTCTTTGAAATTAGATGACCATCATAGCCATTCTGAAGCTTCTCCAGTGTAATAAGCAGAGGATTTAAACATTCTTGCTAAGTTCTGGAGTTGTATATTTGCACATGTGCACGTACACCACACACACACACACACACACACACACACACACACACGGAGGGAAGGTGGACAGGTTGGAAATTTAAAGTCAGCTAAGGAGTGCTACTTGTCTTTAATCAAAAAAGGGTTTTAGGAGTTCACTTCCCCAGAGGCTGGCAGGTTGTCTTTATAGTGACTGGAAATTGGCATCTTTAGCATCTTTGTTCTACCTGTGTGCTTCCTAATAAAAGCGACCAGAACAACTTTCCGAATTATTTTCCCTCGTTTTACAAACATCTATTGATTGTAGAGTACAAGTTTTGCTAAATTGGTTTCAGATAAACAATTAGCATACAAGATACAGCAAAGGGAATCATAATTTGATGTTTGTATTCTTTGAAGACATCAACAAAACAGCAATATAACACAGATACCATTTTCGACATTAAAATCCAAATTATATCATCTTAAAAGTTTATATTTAAACAGTATCCGATGAAATCTCCACTGTCGTAAGCTAGGTATAGCTTGGTGAGAAAGAAATGAACACTTGTCTTTAATTGATTGCATGTTAATGTAACTGTTGAAATCTATAGGTGTTTTGGAAGTAGGCATTAATGAGAAAGGAAGCCCATAAGAAGTAGTTGGTGTTGTCTCTAGTTCATGGGTATGTATAATCTAATTCCTTTTCCTCACCATGTCATAGGATATTGTGCATTATTAAAACTGTCCATAATAAATTTAGAGGTTAGCTTTTGAAGTAGAAAGTGATCTCAACCATGGGAGTCTAAATTGCAGGAGGATTTAGGGATATAATGATGGGAGATACAGTAGGGACAGAACCCTTCAGGCAGAGGGGCTGCCCCTGTCACTCACAGCTATCTACCAGGGTAATACTTAGAGAATCTTTTAAGTTAAGGAAAAGAGAAAGATTGCTTATGAGGATGCACATGGGCTATATGGGACAAAAACAGACTGAGGAGTGGGCCCTCTTGATAGTGGGAGTGACAAGTCGGTTAGTTTTTAGTAAGGTAAACTTTCTGGGAAGAATTAGCTCTTTGTTTATCCATCAGAACATTCAGGGTAAGTGTGACATCTTAAAAGGATAATTTGAGTACAGGCTTTTGGAGAATTTTCATCAACTACCTTTATTACCTTTTAAATTATTTTGGTACAACACTGCAAGATTGAAGTTTATTTGTAACTGTTACTGTGATGGTATCACTGAGGGTCAGTAAGCAGACAATAATAAGGGGATTGGAGGCTGGTGGTCCTTTGCTCTATGTCTAAAAATCAATATATGAGTGAGTACATACCGTGTTCCTCTCTTTGTGACTGGTTGGTGACTCAGGATGGTTTCTTCAAGTTCTATCTATTTGCCTGAGAATTTCAAGATTCCATTGTGGTTTTTTTTTTTGTTTGTTTGTTTTGTTTTGTTTCGTTTTTGTCTGCTGAGTAGTATCCCATTGTGTAAATGATGTGCCACATCTTCTTTATCCATTCTTCAGTTGAGGGACATCTAGGTTGTTTCCAAGTTCTAGCTATTACAAATAATGCTGCTATGAACATAGATGAACAGATGTCTTTGTTGCATATAGAAATTAAGGTACCCAAGAACTAGAACTAGAATCCAGGATTTTTTAACATCACCTGCAGAAGTTGGCTAAAGTTCTCAACGTTGTTTCTGTAGATGCTGTGAGGAATTCCCACACAGAAGACTGTTTGCTTTTAAGGAAATAAAATCTTAACATCATCTGAGCTAGTTTTCTTAGGAAAAGACAAATATACCTGACCACTTCAATAAAGTCTTGGTTCAGCATTAAAAAGAAAAAAAGATAGGGGAAAGATGAATTTGAATGATAAGAAAGCATAACACTTGCTGGTTAGACCTGTAAATGCATGCAGGTAGCAACAGCAAAGGTGAGTGATACATAAAATAAATGTTATAGATGCTAATAAAGAGTAAGGATGATGAGCCAGGCGATAGTGGTGCACACCTTTAATCCTAGCACTTGGGAGGCAGAGGCAGGCTGATTTCTGTGAATTTGAGGCCAACCTGTTGTACAGAGTGAGTTCCAGGACAGGTTCCAAAGCTACACAAAGAAACTATCTCAAAAAAAAAAAAAAAAAAAAAAAAAAAAAGATGAGGAATTCAGATTCTTCTAGGCCTTAGGCCTTAACAATTGAAAAAGATCTATTATAATAATTCATTGCAACATTTAAAATTTTTAGCTTTGAGCTTTTAAGAGACCATATAGTAACAGACTGGACTATTTGATAGCTTATAGCTTATCCTTTAATTATCACATTCTATGAAAGAACACTGCCACCATCACGTACTACTTCTAAAACATATCAGTCATCTCAGAAGATAGTGACAGCTGTGATGAAAATACTTTTGGTTTATGACGGAGATGACCGACAATGGATAATTTACTCTTTTTTTGTGTGTGTGCATTATTTCTTTCTTCCATTGGGCATATAAAAGGGTTGTAGCAGGGTGCGTTTGAACAGAAATGTGCTCTTCAAATAGTAAGCATGTCGAACATTTTAATGTTTGATTTTATTAGAGGAGATAATGTATGTAAGATATGTATCTTTCGGGTTCTAATGAAATATGTCTCTCCTTTTCAGAATTTATGCGAGTTCCCTGTGTCGATGCCGGGTTGATTTCACCACTGGTACAGCTGTTACATAGCAAAGACCAGGAAGTGCTGCTTCAAACGGGCAGGGCGCTAGGAAACATTTGCTATGATAACCGTAAGTGTTCAGACTGCGGTGGCACTTACATCATTTTCTTTTCAACATTACGATTTTCAAATAACTTTCAGTTTGGTATTAGGACTGGCTTTTCTAGATGGGCCAGTAAACTTTAGCTCTGCTTTTGTAGCAGAACTGGTGGAAAATTGGGTCATCGTATTCTTAACTAAGAAGTTATTGGGAGTAAATTACCCTGTTTTCACAAGAGATATTTGCTAAGTAAAGTGTATTGCTAAAACTGAGACCGTTAACGAAAAATCCCCTTACAGAACTTTAAATTAGGTCTTGAGAAGTATTGTCTAAATTAACGAAAATACTTCTGGAAAGTTTTTAATTTCTATGTCTGTCCAGATAAAGTGTTAATTAATTGCCATTCGTAAGAAAGCATCATCTCAAAAGCTAGATTGGTCCACTGCATTTGCATTGGCTCCATTCCAGTTTCTTCTTATGTCATTGCCATCCTTACCACCTTCTGAAACGAGGTTCTAGTCAGAGTAAGCAAGAATTTGTGTGCCTATTTATTGCAAACATACTGCAATTTCTACTTCCCGTCTCACATATACACAGAAAACTTTGGAGCATAAAGCTGGATTTGGTGACATACACTTTTAATCCCAGCACTCCAGAGGCAGAGGCAGGAGGATCATGAGTTCAAGGCCAGCCTGGGCTATATAGCAAGAACTTACCTCAACAGACAAAACCCCAACTTTTAGTGTATTCAAATCAACTCTGGCATATCGGTTTTCCCTGGATTTTTATTTTCTGAGACAGAAACCACATACTTACTCAAATTTATACCACCTACAAATTCAGTTATGTATGTATGACCAGGATAATTTTACCATGTTTTCCATGTTTAGTCTATACCTTATGTGAGTTGTATTTTGCTTGAACAGTAAATATTTGGCACTCTCTCTCTCTCTCTCTCTCTCTCTCTCTCTCTCTCTCTCTCTCGCTCTCTCTCTCTCTCGCTCTCTCCCTTCCCCCCTCCCCCCCCAATCCATCCATAACAGTGCTTCTTGAAAATGTGATTTATATCTAGGAATCCGATAGAGTGAGAATATACACAATTCTTAGTTATTCTCATTCATTTCTCTTTAGTGTGTGTAATAATGTCCAGGACAGTGTTAATGTCAAATTTAGCTTCATTTTCTACTCCCTGATGATGCAATATAAAGTTACATATGTTCTGCTTTGTTCTTATTCTCTGTATCTTAAGATATTCACTGTATTTACAAAATGATAGTTCTTCAGATTTGTAATTTTGCATCCTGTGTGTGTGTGTGTTAAGGTGGAGTGGGGGAGGTGTAGCACAGAGACAGCTGACCTGAGCTAGTTGGAGTGTATAGACTATGGATTGACAGCTTGGGAATCTGCATGGGAACTCGCTAGACCCTCTGAATGTGGGTGACAGTTACATGGCTTGATCTGTTTGGGGTGCCCTAGCAGTGACACCAGGACCTATCCCAAGTGCGTGAACTGGCTTTTTGGAGCCCATCTCCTATGGTGGGATACCTCGTCCAGCCTTGATACAGTGGGGAGGGGCTTGGTCCTACCTCAATTTGGTATGCCAGACTTTGTTGACTCCGCAAGAAAGGCCTTACTCCCTCTTAGGAGTGGGTTGGGGGCTTGGGGGGCCAGTAGAAGGGGAGGGAGGAGGAACTTGGGTTGGTATGTAAAATGAGAAATACATTTTTTAAATTAAAAAAGTTACACATATGTTCTGCTCTGTTCTTACACTCTGTATCTTATTTTTCATCTCGTGTGTTTGGGGGGTGGGGGTTATTCAGTATCATAGATTGTGATCTCAGCTCTCAAATTACTCATTTAAATAAAGATTATTTTTATCAGTGCTTACAGAGTCAGAGCTGCTGCACGCACTTGCAGAGTGCTGTGTACTACGGTTTGCATTCTTGCTCCTTTGTGTTTGCTGAAGAACTGGAAGCTACCAGAAGTATTTACATGATATTCAGCTTATTTATTCTTGAATGATTGTTTTCCTCCAAACATGGGGATTATTTTCCCTTATGAGTCTTGTCCTGGAGTTTCGCTTTGTAATGACAAAGTAGAAGACACACAGTCATTTATTTCCTGTAAAGAACCTTGAAGTCGGGGTAGGAAATGTCACGATAATAAGGCCGTAATTCGATGGAACCGAAGTTCACTATGATAGTATTTATACCCTGTCCCTTTATCTTATGAAATATAAAGTTTTACTGGCATGCTTCTGGCTGCAATGTTAATGTTTTTCATTTATGTAGAAACATTTGTAAGGACATTAAGGACTTCAGTGGAAGGTAGAGATTATAAGCCGTAGTTTTCACATCTCAGAATTGGCTAAGGAAAATACAGCTAGTGGTCTTAAAAAATAATAATCATAAGTGATTAGTACTGTACATCATGTGACAAAAAATGTATTCATTGTACTGTGTTGTCATAAGTGTATAACTTAAGACTACTTTCCTGTTCTTTTATTATGAATTAGTAATGCCAACTTCTTAGTGCTTTCTCCAGAATTATTCTAGGATATGAAAGTATAAATTTAGTACTATTCAGTGAGTAGTATTTACTTGAAATGAACTTATTTATTTTGCGATAATTGGGGTTTTAAGAAACCTTAAAGACTTCGATTTTAGCTAATCAGCCATTCTCTCTTTATCAAGAATGTGATGCTTTTTGAGAGAAAGAGAGAGAACAGAAAATATTACCAATCAGTAAATTTAAGAGACATGCTTCTTCAAAGTACAGCATGTTTTAAAGTTCACACTTGTTCTTATCAAATTTAACGTGTCAGACCGATGAGATGAGATGTAGTAGTGTGCTCCAGATGATACCTTTTTTAGTGTGGTTTTATTCAGGGTGGTAATTAAGTATGCAGTAGATACTAACTAAACCAGCATTTACAGGGGTCACTGTAAGTAACTCACTGTTGTCAAAGAAATTGAGAAATCTTTGTGTATGTGATAGACGTTTGCTAACATATCTTTAGCTAACGGTTTATTTGAAAGAAATAACCATAAAATTCATGGAACTCTAAGTCTAACAAGTAGGTCAGACTTCAGTTTTAGTAACAGCCTTGTCAGTTCCCATTATAGGCATTCTTCCTAATGGAAGAAGGTGTCCTTATATGATCCCCACACCAAGAAACAGACTGACACATCTACCACACGCGTGAAGTATGGCTTGGTTTCTGCTGAACTTCTTAAATCCGTCTCCCTTTTGTATATGGAGATCAAAAAATTCACTGGCTATGGGGGCATTTCTCATTTAATACTGAGTTTGTTTTCTTCCATATAACCTTCAAGGCATTTCATTATGGATTCCTCTTTCAAGGCATCCAAATATACTATTGGTCCAAGCAACAGTTTAAAATTCATGTGCCAGACTATTATTTTTGCTGGACTAACCATTTTTGAGAAGTTAGACATCTTTCAAAGAAGACAGAAAAAGTGTATTTCAGTTTGGAAAGACATCAGTAAAGCTCTACGTGTGGTAGAACCTGATCAGAAATGTTGTTTTAACCAGAAAAGTAGTAATATATCTCAGCAATGCTTGTCCTGTGTACACAGCTCCTTCCGGGCTGATATTTAAGTTCTAAGAGTGTGACTGTGCTACTTGGAATGTTTTGTAGCATTCCCTATTTTTATTGATTCTTAAAATTTGTATAGGGCTACAAACATTTAAAATTTTTGATATGATTGTTACTAAAGCTCTGAAAGGTTCATAGTAATTTGTCATTCCCAGGAGTACATTGGTTAATGGAGACTTGAGTTTCTATTTGTTGATATTACTGATTGAGTTTAGGAAAAAGCATTTGATATGCTAGTTAAAAGATATTAGTTAGTAGGGGCTAGCAGAGCCCATATATATATATATATATGTATATATATATATACATATATATATATAAAATTATATATAAAGAGCAAGGTTAACACATTAACCAAAATTTTAAAAATATGCTACTTGTAGCAATAAGTCATTATATAATTATGTTATTAGAATGATACACATATTTAAGAGTCTTACATGATGTACTGTATCACTTACACAGAAAATGGTAATCCTACTTCCCGAATGAATAAAATAGTCGAAATGGGGTTTGTCAGAGGCAGTGTTTGTGAAGTAAAATAAATACTATTTCATCAACTTCCAAGTATACAAAAGAATAGTTAAATACAAACATATACCCATTTGTATATTAGTGATTCTTAATGTGTTACATGATTGATTGATGTGCAGGTGGGGACGTGTTGCATGCACATGAGTATGCAGGCGTAGACATGGGATGTTTTCTCCACCTGGATTCTGATTGCCTTGACACAGGTTCTCTTCCTGACCCAAAAACTTGCTGTTTGGGCCAGGCTTGCTAGGCAGTGAGCTGCCAGGACTCGGCTGTCTCCACCCCACAAAGCCAGGCTCACAGACACCTATAGCCATGCCCAACTTTTTACGTGGTCTTGGGGATCGGAACTCTGGCCCTCGTGCTTGCAGGCTTGCTTAAGCCACCTTTCCAGCCCCACTGTTACATTATTTTTATATAAAGGTCAAATCTAGCTTTTATTGCAAATGCCAAGAAATAATAACAATAGCTAAAAATGTTTTGTGCTGAAAGTTGGTTAGAGTAACGTAGGATAGAAATGCTTTGAAATTGTGCAATATTTGCAGCAACTTTGTTAAAAAGGATTCTTTACGCTGTCCCTTGGAAGTGTTTATTTCGGTGATCAATTAGATTATTTGGTTATGCTGTTAGAGCCTTTTGTTGCCTTTTTTCTTCAGTGTTTAGTTTGAGAAGAAATTAAATTATCTGCTAGTAGCATAAAAATATTTTTCAACTTTAATCAGTCTGTTTTATCTTAAAGTCAACTTGCTATCAAAGTATATTTATAGAATGAATAACTCTCGCAATGAAATGTTTAGATTTTTATTAGGACTGTTATCACATGAGAACACCAAATAAAAATGTTCTGTGTAGATGAAGTAGATGCTATTTTATAGTC